GGAGGAAGAGCAGAAGAAAGACGAGGAGAAGGAGATGGTGGAGACAGGGGATGAGATAATAGAGACATGGTAGAAAGCAAAAAGAAAGGAGGAAAGGAGGAGGAGAAAGCGATGGAGAAGGGGGAGGAGGAGGAGACAGAGAAGAAGGAAACAGAGGAGAAAAAGACTGAGGAACAGGAGATGGAGAAGAGATAACGTTATAGGAGATGGAGAAGGAGGAGGCTAAAATGAAGAATGATAAGATGGAGAAAGAGCAGAAGACAGACGAGAAGGAGGAGATGGTGGAGACTGGGAGAAGGAGAGAGAAGAGACATAGTAAAAAGCAGAAAGAAAGGAGCAGAAGAACAAGGAGGTGAGGAGGAGGAGAAAGTGATGAAGAAGAAGAAGGAGGAGACAGAGAAGAAGGAAACAGAGGGGAAATAGACGGAGGAACAGAATATGGAGAAAAGATAGAGTAACAGGAGATGTAGGAGGAGGAGGCAGAGAAAGATGAAAGGAAAGAGAAAATAGACAGTCAGGTGAAGGAAAAAGAGGAGACAGGAGAGGAGGATGAGGATGAGGAGGAGACGAAAGAGGAGAAGACATTGTAATAGAAGATGGAGAAGACAGAGGCAGAGAAAGAGATGCAGGAGAAGAAAACAGAGGAGAAAGAGGAAACTGAAGAGGGGATGGAGGAGAAATTTAAGAAAAAAGAAGAGAAGACGTAAGAAGATTAGAAAATAGAAGAAGAGAACGAGGATACAGAAGAGACAGAGAAAGAGGAGATGAAGGATAATGAGATGGAAAAAGAGTTGATATAGGAGTGTCAGAGGAAATGGAGACAGGAAGATTTGTAAATCGAGGAGACAAGATGGTGGAACAGAAGGAATTGGAGGAGGAGGAAACAGAGGAGAAGAAGATGGAAGAGAAGGAGAAAATAGAAAAGAAAGAGAGAAGATGGAGACGGAAAGGAAAACTGAGGAGAAAGAGATGGAGGAGGGGATATAGAAGGAGTTGGTTGAGACAGAGGAGGAAAAGACAAAAGAGGAGGAAAAGACTGAGAAGGAGGAGAATAAAACAGAGAAGGGAGCAGAGAAAATGGAGAAGGAGGGAAAAACAGAGGAGGAAGAGAAGAGGAGGAAAAGAGAGGGACTAGAGAAGGAAATTGAGAAGTAGGAGACATATGAAATGAATGAGAAAGAGACAGACCACGAGAAGGAGATAGAGAAGATAAAGAAAAAGGAGAAGGAAACGAAGAATGAGGAGGCGGAGGAGAAAGAGGAGAAATAGAAAAAGGAGTAGAAGATGGTAATAAAGGAGGAGTAGAAGATGGAGAGGAATAAGATAGTAGAGATCAAGACCAAGGAACAGGAGATGGAGGTGAATAAGGAGGAGAATGAGGAGCATGATAAGATGGAAAAAGAGATGATGAGAAATGGAGGAGAAGGAGATAGAGGAAGAGAAAACAGAAGGAGATAAAAGAGGAGGAGGAGGAGGAGGAGGAGAAGACAAAATATGTAAATAAGGAGGAGAAGGAAGAAAATAATTAAGATAAGACGGAGGAGGTGGAAAAGGGGTGGAGGAGGAGGTGAAAAAGAAGACTGATAAGATGGAGGAAGAGCAGAAGACAGATGAGGAGACGGAGAGGGTGGAGACAGGGGAGAAGCAGATAGAAGAGACATAGAAGAAAGCAGAAAGAAAGGAGGAGAGGAGGAGGAGGAGGAGAAAGCGATGGAGAAGAAGGAGGAGGAGGAGACAGAAGGAGGAAACAGAGGAGAAAGAGACAGAGGATCAGGAGATGGGCAAGAGATAACATAATAGGTGATGGAGGAGGAGGAGGCAAACAAGAAGAAAATACGATAGAGAAAGAGCAGAAGACAGAGGTGATGAAGGAGATGGTGGAGACTGGGAGAAGGAGAGAGAAGAGACATAGTAGAAAGCAGAAATAAAGGAGGAGAAGAACAAGGAGGTGAGGAGGAGGAGGAGAAAGTGATGAAGAAGAAGAAGAAGGAGGAGGAGGAGACAGAGAAGAAGGAAACAGAGGAAAGAGACTGAGGAACAGGAGATGGAGAAGAGATAGAGTAAAAGGAAATGGAGGAGGAGGAGGCAGAGAAAGATGAAAGGAAAGAGAAAATAGACAGTGAGGAGAAGGAAAATTTGGAAAAAAGACAGAAGAGGTGGATGAGTACGAGATGAAAGAGGAGAAGACATTGTAATAGAAGACAGAGTCAGAGAAAGAGATGCAGTAGAAGAAAACAGAGGAGAAAGAGGAAACTGAAGAGGGGACAGAGGAGGAGAAATATAAGAAAAAAGAAGAGGAGACGTAAGAAGATTAGAAAATAGAATAAGAGAACGAGGTACAGAGGAACAGGAGACGGAAGAGGCAGAGAAAAAGGAGACGAAGGATAATGAGATGGAAAAAGATGGAAAAAGAGTTGATACAGGAGTGTCAGAGGAAATGGAGACAGAGGAAGATATGTAGATAGAGGAAACAAGATGGTGAAACAGAATGAATAGGAGGAGGAGGAAACAGAGAAGAAGATGGAAGAGAAGGAGGAAGAGAAAATAGAAAAGAAAGAGAGAAGATGGAGATGGAAAGGAAAACAGAGGAGAAAGATGAAGGAGGAGATATAGAAGGAGTTGAGACAGAGGAGGAAAAGACAAAAGAGCAGGAGGAAAAAGACAAAAGAGGAGGAGAAGACTGAGAAGGAGGAGGATAAAACAGAGACAAGAGCAGAGAAAATGGAGGAGAAGGGAAAAACAGACGAAGAAAAGAGGGAAATTGAGAAGTAGGAGACATATGAAGTTAATGACCACGAGAAGGAGATAGAGAAGAAAAAGGAGAAGGAGACGAAGAATGAGGAGGCGGAGGAGGAGGTGGTGGCGGAGGAGAAAGAGGAGAAAGAGAAAAAGGAGTAGAATATGATAACGGAGGAGGAGAAGAAGATGGAGCGGAATAAGATAGTAGATATCAAGACCAAGGAACAGGAGATGGAGGTGAATAAGGAGGAGAATGAGGTGCATTATAAGATGGAAAAAGAGATGATGAGAAATGGAGGAGAAGGAGATAGAGGAAGAGAAAACAGAAGGAGAAAAAAGAGGAGGAAGAGAAGACAGAAAAGAATAAGGATAAGAAGGAGCAGGTGGAAAATGGGTGGAGGAGGAGGTGAAAAAGAAGACTATTAAGATGGAGGAAGAGCAGAAGACAGACGAGGAGAAGGAGATGGTGGAGACAGGGGAGAAGGAGACATAGAAGAAAGCAGAAAAAAGGAGGAGAAAGCGATGGAGAAGGAGGAGGAGAAAGCGGTGGAGAAGAAGGAGGATAGGGAAACAGAGAAGAAGGAAACAGAGGAGAAAGAGACTGAGGAACAGGAGATGGAGAAGAGATAACATTATAGGAGATGGAGGAGGAGGCAAAAAAGAAGAATGATAAGTTGGAGAAAGAGCAGAAGACAGATGGGAAGAAGGAGATGGTGGAGAATGGGAGAAGGAGAGAGAAGAGACATAGTAGAAAGCAGAAAGAAAGGAGGAGAGAAGGAGGAGGAGAAAGCGATAGAGAAGAAGGAAACAGAGGAGAAAGAGACTGAGGAACAGGAGATGGAGAAGAGATAACGTTATAGGAGATGGAGTAGGAGGTTGCAAAATAGAAGACTGATAAGATGGAGAAAGAGCAGAAGACAGATGAGAAGAAGGTGATGGTGGAAACTGGGAGAAGGAGACATAGAAGAAAGCAGAAAAAAGGAGGAGAAAGCGATGGAGAAGGAGGAGGAGAAAGCGATGGAGAAGAAGGAGGATAGGGAAACCGAGAAGAAGGAAACAGAGGAGAAAGAGACTGAGGAACAGGAGATGGAGAAGAGATAACATTATAGGAGATGGAGGAGGAGGCAAAAAAGAAGAATGATAAGTTGGAGAAAGAGCAGAAGACAGATGGGAAGAAGGAGATGGTGGAGAATGGGAGAAGGAGAGAGAAGAGACATAGTAGAAAGCAGAAAGAAAGGAGGAGAAGAACAGAGAGGTGAGGAGGAGAAAACAAAAGATGTGAATAAGGAGGAGAAGGAAGAAAAGAATAAGGATAAGAAGGAGGAGGTGGAAAAGGGGTGGAGGAGGATGTGAAAAAGACTGATAAGATGGAGGAAGAGCAGAAGACAGACGGAGAAGGAGATGGTGAAGACAGCGGAGAAGGAGATAGAAGAGACATAGAAGAAAGGAGGAGAGGAGGGGGAGGACAAAGCGATGGAGAAGAAGGAGACAGAGAAGAAGGAAACAGAGGAGAAAGAGACTGAGGAACAGGAGATGGAGAAGAGATAATGTTATAGGAGATGGAGGAGGAGGAGGCAAATAGAAGAATGATAAGATGGAGAAAGAGCAAAATACAAACGAGAAGATGGAGATTGTGGAGACTGGGAGAAGGAGACAGAAGAGACATAGAAGAAAGCAGAAAGAAAGGAGGGGAAGAACAAGGAGGTGAGGAGGAGAAAGTGATGAAGAATAAGGAAGAAGGAAACAGAGGGAAAAGAGAATGAGGAACAGAAGGTGGAGAAAAGATAGAGTAACAGGCAATGGAGGAGGAGAAGGCAGAGTAAGATGAAAGGAAAGAGAAAAATAGACAGGGGGAGAAGGAAATTAGGGAAAGGATAAGAAAGAAGAGGTGGATGAGGAGGAGATGGAAGAAGAGAAGACATTGTAATGGAGGATGGAAAGACAGTGGCTGAGAAAGAGATGTAGTAGAAGAAAACAGGAGGAGAAAGAGGAAACTGAAGAGGGGACATAGGAGGAGAAATAGAAGATGAAAGATGAGGAGACATCAGCTGATTAGAAGATAGAAGAAGAGAACGAAGAGACAGAGGAAAAGGAGATGGAAGGGACAGATATAAAGAATAATGAGATGGATAAAGGGTTGCTATAGGAGTGTCAGATGAAATGGAGGAGGAGGAGAAGGTGCAGACAGAGGAGGAGATGTAGATAGAAGAGACGAGATAGTAGAGCAGAAGGAATTGGAGGAGGAGGAAACGGAGGAGAAGATGATGAAAGAGAAGGGGGAGGAGCAAATAGAAAATGAGAGAAGATGGAGAAGGAAAGCAAAATGGGGGAGAAATAAATGGAGAAGGAGATATAAGAGGAGATGGTGGAGACAGAGGAGGACAAGACAAAAGAGGAGGTGGAATAAGAAAAAGGTGGAGGAGACAGATGAAGTGGATAAGAAAGAGATAGACGACGAGAACAAGACAGGAAAGATAATGAAAAAGGAGAAGGAGACGCAGAATGAGGAGGAGGAGAAAGAGAAAAAGGAGTATAAAATGATAATGGAGGAAGAGCAGAAAAGGAGGACTGGACAGAGAAAGAAGAGAAGAAAAAGGAAAAGGAGGAGACAGAGATGAAGGAGATGATAGGAGACAAAAAATTAGGATTAAATAGGGAAGATAAGAAGAGGAAAAGACAATGGAGGAGAAGCCGACAGAGGAGGATGAGAAGTAGAAGGTTGAGAAAGAGGAGGAGATGGAGGTAGAATAAGAAGCAACAGAGGAGCAGCGGAAGGAGAAGAAGTAGACAATGGAATAGCAGGGCAAGAATGAGACGGAGACTGAGGAGGAAATTGAGGAGACAGAGGAGGACGAGGTACAGGAAACAGAGAAAGAAGAGGGGAGGATGACAGAGGAGGAAGAGAAGAAGAAAGGAATAGGAGAAGAGTGAGGCAGAGGAAGAAAAGAAGAAAAATGAGGAGGAGGAAATTGAGGAGAAGAACAATGGTGGAGGGAGAGGATATGGAGAAAAAGGAGGAGAAATAGGTGGTGCAGAAATAGGAGACAAAGAAACAGAGGGAGGAGTAATAGACAGAAGAGGAGAAAGAAGACTGACACGTAGAAGGAGGATATGGAAAAGATAGAGGAGGCACAACAAAAAGACTCAGCAATGTTTCAGTAATGTAGTACCTTTGTCAATGTTTGGTTTAATAAAATTCATCACTGAATCTCAAGCGTAGACAACAACTTTGTTTTGAATTGATGCTGTGTCTTGGTGGTAGCAATCCAAATGACCAGCACACTCATGTAAGTGCCTTTTCTACACGGTAATAATACAAAAAAATGAAAGGTTAAATAAAAGTAGTAACAGATCTTACTATCACCTATGTGGGTCACTCCACCACACACAGTAAAGTGCAAACAGTAATTAAAATTATTGGTTAGAGCTAGTGATCGAGCAATTATCGGTCTGGCCAATATAGCCGATAATACATACCAGAACCGCTGTGCCCATGACAAGCCTGGCGGTCCTGGGGGGTCCGCAGCAAGCGCTTACTTACTTTCCAAGCAGCTCCCTTCCACTCCCTGTGTAAATCTTGCGAGTCCTGTAGCCGTCAGAGTGTTGCCACGGGTTACCATGGCAACGCTCCGTGCGATATGCTGGCCGCGAGATTTACACAGTGAGCTGCTTGGAAGGTAAATAAGCGCTTGCTGCAGGCCCCCTCTGTACTTTCCATGCCACTGGACCACAAGGGAATGTCATATCCCCCCTCCCTGGCCAGGTAACAAGCAGGGAAAAATTAAATTAAAAATGCCCCCTCCCCCCAAATTACATACCTACATAAACACACAAACTGCATTAAATAAACACACTACACTAACACACTGCATATAGTGTCTGTATAATGAATGCAGTGTGTATATATAATGCAGTGTGTGAATAAAATGCATTGTTTGTGTAGTGTGTTTATATAATGCACACTACACAAACACACTGCACTCACTATACACAAACTACACAAACACTTTGCATTTAGTATATACACACACATTACACAAATACACTGCATTCACTTTACACACACTACACACACACTAGATTCACTTTACACACACTACACAAGCACTGCATTCACGTTACGCACACACTGCATTCACTTTACTCACACCACACACTACATTCACGATACACACACTACACAAACACTGCATTCACTATACACACTACACAAACACACTCTGCATTCATTACATACACTACACACACTACACACACACTACACAAATGCACACAGCTCCCCTGTCTAAACACACTGCATACACCTACACATGGCATGTATATTTTGTGCATTTACATTTAGAAATAGTTTATTTTTTCAAAATGGTAAATGTACAGAATATCGGCAAGTTATCGGCTATCGGCCTGAAAGTTCACTAATGATAAATTTAGACAACTTTGGATCCTGAATCCTGGATTCTTTACTGGAGGAAAATTCCTAAAGAAAAGTTGTATATTCTTATTTTTCTACTAATCTCAGGAGACAACCACCTTTATTTCTCCATTTAAGGCCCTAAGGTCTGAGACAGCAATTTGAGTGGCTCAGCAAAATGTGTGTGTTTTATTATTAACTCTATATGTGCACTATTACCCCATGTTCTATTTTTTATCTTTTATTTTAGGTTTATGCCAGTATACGGTTTATGGTAAATTGTATAACGATTTTTGTTTGCTCTCACAAACAATTTTAATTACTGCATGCCTTTTCTGCATTATTGTGACGTTTTACAATAATAGTGAAAGATCCCCTAGGCCTAGGTGGTGCTGTTGCTATATTTTAACGGTGCACAATTTCCACATTTATAATTATTTTTTTCAGAGCCAAAACATACACCGTTTGTGTGTACGATTTGTATTTTCTATACTGAAAGAATCTACTTGTATCTAGAAATGTAAGATGCAAGGGTGGTGTACACTACACAGTGAAAGTGAATGTCAATATTTGTCATTATTTTTACGAAGCATCAGCATATTATTCAGTACTGCGCAAGGGGCAATTTGAATCGATTTTGATAAAATGTTTTGGAAAGGGGACCCTATCAAATAATTTCAGCCTGTATTTAGTAAACTAGTAATTGAGGAGAATTGGCAAAATAAATGAAACTGTAATAGTCAAAATCTTTGTATTAGAGTAAAACATCAGTTAAAAGTTGCAATTCTTTTGTATACTCTGAAATTCCCAGTTTAGTACATAACAACTGTATTTTGACAGCTATATGAAGTCACAATGTTTCCCTCGACAGACACTTCTTGTTGATGGGCAGCACATGAAAAATGTAGAACTGTAACATGACCCAGGGAGGCTCTATAGTAGAACATAATATTTTTTAATTCACTGCCCCCCGATAATTTAAATTGTATTTAGAAAAAAATATATATTCTCGGTGACATGGTTCAGCTCTCTGGTTACTAGTAAATAAATTCAACCTCACCCATGAAGTACTCCTGGACTGACGCATAGCCAGGATTATTAATTTGAACTTGATCTTTCATACAAATACTTAGATATAGATTCATTACACATTTATTTTGAATTTCAAAGTATGATATACATACATTCTTACATAGTAAATATAAAAAAATGATTTTTATGCACTCAATTATAATATAATAGCACCAATAGTAGATTATATTTAAAGGAACACCCAAGCACCATAACCACTACAATAGGTGGAGGTGGGAAATGCTGCCTGAAGGAGTTGAGAAGACAAACAATTCAAAAATGGTTTGATTAATACTTCCAATGGGGGAGAATGCAAAGGCAGGTACTATAATCACTACATTGTGTGTCTTGACTGTTCCTTTAATTCTATAAAATGTTAATCACTAAAAGAAAGCTATACCTATTCACAGAAATGCACAGAATGACTAGAAGAAAATGGTAATTAAAAAAAAAAAAAACACAAAAAAGCAAAAATAATAAAAGTGTCAAGAATGTAGCATTATTGTTTGAGATAGTTGTTTTGGAAATACAAGGTACAGACTGTGAGGATATTTATGGGGTCATAAATATTAAAACAATATTTTCATAAAAATGATAAAAAATTAATTTAATAATTCTTGTTATATCAAAATTGATATCTTGGCACTGTTACCCAAAATTAATAATATAATAAAGCTGAGAATCAGAACAAATCAATACATCTGGATAAAACATAGAAACATAGAAACATAGAATGTGACGGCAGATAAGAACCATTCGGCCCATCTAGTCTGCCCAATTTTCTAAAAACTTTCATTAGTCCCTAGCCTTATCTTATAGTTAGGATAGCCTTATGCCTATCCCATGCATGCTTAAACTCCTTTACTGTGTTAACCTCTACCACTTCAGCTGGAAGGCTATTCCATGCATCCACTACCCTCTCAGTAAAGTAATACTTCCTGATATTATTTTTAAACCTTTGTCCCTCTAATTTAAGACTATGTCCTCTTGTTGTGGTAGTTTTTCTTCTTTTAAATATAGTCTCCTCCTTTACTGTGTTGATTCCCGGTATGCTAACTTTAATATATTGTTATCTTTATTCCACCTGCAGGAATGGAATTTTTATAACCATATATTCTTAGCCAATTAAGATTTCTAATGATTGAAATCTGACCGAGATTTATACATATATATAAATAAATAAAACAAGCATAATTACCAGTTACATTGTAGATTTTCTTATCAGATGAATTCAAGATCTGTCCCAGGAATTGAATGCAAGTATGATTGATGTATAGAGGATTGTATGTAGTAGAAAATATTAAGAATTAGGTGAGTTTAAGAGAGAGTTGATAGTTTCTTGAGTACAGTCCAAATGGTTCAAAGAGAGTTTGAATGTGGCCAGAATGGCTAATGTTGAATGTCCCTCTCTTTCCTTTGGCCTTACTTTTTAAAGGGCCAAACTCTCTGCACGTCACTAATTGATAGGACCAATAGGGAACTGTAGGTGTGTCTTCCCTACAGATCATCATCTAGATTTTGGTCAGTAGATGGCGGAATTACATCACTAACATTTCTTTTCATGGGGTCCATTTGCCATTATGCATAATGGGTTAACTGAATTCGATGACGAGTTTCACGTCATTTACTTATCTATTTCATGACACTGTAACTCAAATTTCCTGCCAATTTCAAAGGCGTTATCCCAGTCTTTGTGACGGCAATTTCAATCATAATTTAGAATTGACACCTCCTAACCTTAATTTTCATCCTTTTTCTTACAATGGGACTTTGTAGATTTAGCAAGTAAAATTAATTACTACGTGTTATCTGTCACTGGTGTCTGGTTCTTTGTGAAGCTGTGTGTAAGATTTATTTTTCTATTCCACTAACATTTATTAAATAATATGATATTTGTTTTCATGGATATTTATCCATGAATAGTCTATATTATTAACATAATACTACTTAAATGTGTTTAATATAAAGTAAGTATGAGTGGATAGTGTGTATATGTATATATAATAATGTATACATTTGTATATGGGTTGGTATTCCTTCCACCATCTTGTTTACATAACGTATTCCTTAGCTCAGACTTGAATGAATAGAGTTACAGAGAGAAATGTTGTGTCTTTCTTAGCCTGAAAATTCCAA